AGAGTCTCAGAAAGTTCACCCCCAAGTGTTAATAACTCCCGCTGGCATGTATCTCTAACACACACATGGCCCACGTGCCCGTTTGCAAACTGAAAACGGGTTATTGTTATTAGCTTGGCTTTCCAGTATTTCAGGCTGTTTGCCCTTCAATGCCTCAGCCCGAATCATTTCAATTCTGACGGGGATGTAAGGAGCCATACGAACCAGGCATTACAAATCCAAACTTTCGAATGCCAAAGGAGGGCACAGGTCTGTGGAGGCAATATGCAAATCAGCATCCAGAGTGAGCATTTCACAGCTAAATGGGACAAGTCTTTAACCTGGCTGTACGTCCGAGGCAGGGTTCTCCAGAGAAACAGAACCAGTGGGATATACTTATACACATATGAGGCGGTTTCTCATACGGAATTGGCTCAGGCAGCTTTCGAGGCTGAGATGTCCCATGATGACCCACGTGCAGGCTGGAGATCCAGAAAAGTGGCTAGTGTGATTCTCGACCAAACCCAAAGGACAACGCCCAGGAGTGCAGGACAACAGGGTGTCCCAGCTCAAGCAGAGAGAGCAAATTCTCCTTCCCTCTGCCTTTTTAGTTTCTTCATGCGCTCAGTGGGCTGACTGCGCCCCCTGACATCGGGGAGGGAAATCTGCTGCTCTGAGTCAAATGCTAACCTTATCCACAGACACACCCAGAGTAATGTTTAACCAAATCTCTGGCTTGTCTCGTGAAGTTATCCATCACTCTGTCATGTGACTAGAATCATAATTTCCTTTTCTAATGGGGAAATCCCTCTATAACGTATTCTTCAAGACGGCCATCTCTCTTTCCCTCTGCTTTCTGAGGAAAGAAGCACCAGCAGGCCTGGAAAGGCGCAGCTAATGTTCCTGGGAAACAGACCAACCCCTCCACCTACTCACCACGGACGCTGCACGCATGACTGGGGCTTCCTGTTACCCTAACTGCGCTGCAAGTATGGGGAAGTCTCCATTGGCCAACCTGCACCAACGTTCCATGAAGGAAATAAAGTTATTCAGTGAGAGGCTCCAGGTTACTAATGGAGATGCCCAGAGGGTCAAAACTCTGAACAGCCACAGACTTGGCGGAAATAGTGAGACTGCCTTCCTCTCCATCTTCCCCCCAGTTTCTAGATATTCTCATTGGCTCCGACGACGTGATTCTGCATCAAGGTTTTGGAAAGCCTCCAACTGTTCTATATATAATTTAAAGTTTAGCTGTTAGATGCAGAGCAGAATTATTTTTAAATTTGGACAAGGACACTGAAAGACAACTGGCCCCAGGAAGCAGGGGCGGTGGCCGCATTCCCTAGGTTAGCAGATGATTGAGCGTTGATGCGTGGACTTTCCAAATTCTAGGAAGGAGGAGAGGAACATGGGGCATGCAGAAAAGGCAAGGCCATGTGGTGTGGTTGCAGATTAGCTCGGAGCTAGCTGGACAGCTGTAAGGGAAGGAAATTGCCAAGAGGAGGGGCAGAGTTATAGGCTGCAGGCCGGAAGGACTAGGACCGTTCCTCCAGCAGCCCTGAAGAAAACAAATCCCGCCAGCAACCTGGGAGTGTGTGCAGAGGGGAGCCTTCAGATGAGCCTTCAGACCCTGGCCCACACCTGGCTGCAGCCTGGGCAGGCTATGGGCAGGGGCCAGGGAAGCCCGCCTGAATTCCTGACCACAGGACAATACTTCCTGTGATGTAAGTGTGTGCTGCCATGAGCCACAGAAGTTTGGGGTAATTTTTAGGCAGGAACAAAGAACTAGTGCCCATGTCCTATCCTGCCAGAGGTAAGTGATGCAGTCAGGAGGGCATGCAATTATCTGCTTTGGTATCAGTTTCTCTTCCAAGGCCAAAGTTAAACAAACAAACAAACACCCCACAAAAACCATCCAGTTGAAGGGTTTGAAGAACTATTAAAATATACGTATTGCAAGAGCGTAAGAAAGGAGAGGGCTCCGTCTCTCCATATTAGCTGGTGGTCTCTGTACATGGTACTCTGATACTCGGAACAATGGGTCAGAGTTCCAGGCGGCAGCTGGGGGAGAGCGAGGGGTGACTCCCCTGAGCCACAACTCTGCATACGTAGACCTTAGCTTTTGCAAAACAGAAAGAACCTTGGGCATCTGAAGACAATTAACCTTACTGTTTTTAATTAACTATCACATATTTATTCCAAAACAATACTTGTTCATTGCAGGATAAGAGAATACACAGAATAAGCAAAAGAAAGAGAATAGAGATATCTAGATCTGTTTATTATACATATACACGCACATGCCAGGGCCATGGTACATGCACATGCCAGGGCTCACGGTATTTTCCTCTTACAGATACATCCCGGACATATTTCCATGTCAATAAATGTTTATGCTCATACTAGTAACAACAACTGAAAACTATTCCAGTATATATTTTTACCATAATTTACTTAACCTATTGTCATGTTTGGACTCCATTTATATCCATTGTTTTCTTTTTCTTTTTTTTAAGATTTTATTTATTTATTGACAGAGAGACACAGCGAGAGAGGGAACACAAGCAGGGGAAGTGGGAGGGGGACAAGCAGGCCTCCAGCGGAGCAGAGAGCCCGATGTGGGGCTCAGTGTGCGGCTCGATGTGGAGCTCTATGTGGGGCTTGATCCCAGGACCCTGGGATCATGACCTGAGCCGAAGGCAGACACTTAACAACTGAGCCACCCAGGCGCCCCTGTATCCATTGTTTTCTGTATTACGGACAATTCAGTGACAAAAGGCCAACCTCTAACTTTACATTACAAAAATACCAATTGTATACAAGTTAAAGGGCTTTCAGCTAAGATAGAATTCAGGGTGCCCCAACATTTTAGTGTAGGATGCCCTAGGAAGGAGTGGGTGATTCTAGAGCACAAATCCTAGGCTGGGGGTGCGGGACCTCTGGGTGCAGCCTGGCTCTGTTCCCCTGCCCTGGGACAGTGAAGGGCACCCACCCCGGACTCCCAAAAGGCCCAGTGTTCCTTTCCAGCAGACCCTAAGCTGCTCAGGCTTAATGCATTTGAGCAGTCATTCTCAAGCTTTGCAATAATCAGAACACACAGGGAGCTTGTTAAAAATACATATTGGCGCCTGGGTGGCTCAGTCGTTAAGCATCTGCCTTTGGCTTAGGTCATGATCCCAGGGTCCTGCGATCGAGTCCCACATCGGGCTCCCTGCTCAGCGGGGAGCCTGCTTCTCCCTCTGCCTCTCCCCCTGCTTATGTTCCTTCTCTCGCTGTGTCTCTCTCTGTCAAATAAATAAATAAATAAAATCTTAAAAAAAAATACATATTTCCTGGCGTCAGTGATGCTGGTGGGGCTGGGAAAAACCAGGCCAGGGTGATTCTGATGACCCTGGGGTTGAGGGATTCACCAATAATACTGACCAGGAGAAGTCAGACCTCCAGCTCTAAGGCAGGTATTTCTTTCTTTTACAATAAATTTTTGATGCTCAGAGAGATGAGCTAGAGGATCAGGTGTAGCTGGGAGGAGGTAAGCACCTAAATGTGGATATGGCCATCTTTTGGCAGGGGTGGTCCTATGTAGATAGCTTGTTTGTGTTGCTATTACACACTTCTCTGGGTTAACTCAAGTCTCTCCTTGAGCTTTTTTCCCTCTTGTATCCACTGGATAAACATTTATTGGCCTCTCTCTGTAGGCTGAGGCCTGGTGCCATCCAACCGTGAACTGTCGATGGGGCATTTCTGAAACTCTTTTCTTGGGGTAACCTGCACTCCAAGCACAGTGCAGGCCCCTGAATCCGGAGCAGGTAACTGGCATTGAGCCGAGCTCTGTGAAAAGTCGGCGGGTCGTTCATCCTTCATCCGAGGATACTGCATACGAATGTTTTAGGTTTGGAGATTCCCAGCAGAGCTGTGGGAGCTTCTAGCTGACAACACACGTACAAGCCAGTGTCCTTAGGTAGGAGTTTCGGTCTAATCTCCCCCGTCAAGTCTTTCCTGCGCCCTCCACCGCCCCACTGTCTTCTCTGCATCCAGGTCCTGCCGGCTGGCTGGAGGGTGTCGCTAAGGCCATCTCCCCGGTCACTTCCTGCTCCTCCTCTAGCCGGGGGCAGGCCCAGGGCTTGGTCATCGCCAGCCAGCGACGCCCACTTTTGCCACCAGCTTGAGGATCCACTGCACGTCCCCCCAACCCCAGGCCGCAGGTGAAACCTGGGGGAGCCGTAGAAAAAGCTGGGGCGCCCTCGGCTCGGAGAGCCGCGCGGGGAGGAATCCCGCGGGGAGCGCTTCGGTTGGGGTCTGTTTCCCTAGTAGCCGCCGGCCCCGCGCCCCCACCGGCGGCGCTCGCTCCCACGCTGCGATCCCGCCACCTGCTGCGCTCTCTCCACCCCCCGCGCCCCTACCCCTAGTGCTCGCTCCCACCTGCAAAGCTCTCACCCACCTGTGGTGCTTTTCCTACCCAGCGCCCAGGACCTTTGCCCTCTGCGAGGCTCCTCCCACCGGGATACAGCCGCCACCTGCGATGCTGCCCGTCCCCCGCAATGCTCCCACAATTGCTGTGATCCCGCCCATCTAAGATGCTCCGCCCACCTGCCATGCTTTTCTTTCCCCCAGGGGTGCTCCCCAGCGGACCTTGATCCTTCTCCCACCAGCGATGCACCCTCCACCTGCCGCCCGGCCCCTCTGAGACCATCCGCTGCCTCCGCCCCCACTTGTGGCGCTCCCCCTCTGCGTTACTCCCGCCCACGTTCGGCGCTGGGTCGGCCCGCTCCCCTCGTACCTCCCCCCCACCTGCGGCGCTCCCCCACCCTGAATGCACCACCACCCGCCGAGCTCCCCGACTGGCCTGAGGCGCGCCCCCGCCCCGCGGATCCCGCCGGCCGGCCCCCGCGCCCAGGAGCCCGCCCTTGGCCGCTCATTGGCGCGCGCCGAGCGGGCGGGGCGGACGGTTCTGAGTCGCAGTGGCGCGGGAGGGGGCACTGCCTGCTGAGCACCCGCCCCAGCACAGTCTCGGCCTGCTCGCCATGGACGACGAAGATGTCGCCAACCGCAAGGTCTCCTTCCGAAAGTGCCTGGAGCACCTCTCCGGGGCCGGCAAGGCCATCGGAGTGCTGACCAGCGGCGGGGATGCCCAAGGTGCGCGACCGCCTGACCGGGCCGGGGGATAAGTGATGGGAGGAGGGGCCGGGAAGAGGGGATGGGGTACGCGGGGCAAGCGGGAACAAGCGATGGGAGCCCCAGGAAGAAGCGAGGAGGAGGGGGTACTGCGGAACAGAGCAGGGTGGGGGAGAAACTCCGGCGCCCGGGAACCGCAGGGGTACCTTCCGGGGTAGGAGTGCGCGGTGCAGCCTCAGAAGGAGTCGCTGCGGGGCTGGGGGCAGGAGGAGGGAAGAATATGGCCTTAGGATCCTTCATCGGGAAGATCAATTAATTTCCCCCCTCCACGTTTAGTTTTTAAATTGAGACTGGAGGTGGGGTCTCCTGGACGGCCCTCGGAGGTCATTTCTCGTCCGAGTCGTAGGGTGGGGCCGACACCCCTGGGAAGCTTAGGAGTCGCGCGGCCACCTGGATGCCGCGGCCCCTACCCACCCGCACCCCGCCCCCACCGGGTGGAAACAACGGATCCCCGCCGCGCGTCCTGCGGATTCGCGTCCCCCACGCGGCGCGGGCGGGGTCCCGGCTATTGCCTGGTGGGGCGCGGCGGGGGGGCGAGGGGACCCCGCCCGGGATGCCCACGGCCCAGTTTCCGCTGGAGGCTTTCCACCGCTCTCCTGACAAAACCGAAAATTGAAATGGGTCACAAGGCCCGCCCCGCCAGCCTCCACTGGCTGGGAAGGACCAGGAAGCCGGGACTCCGGGACGTCACCAGCACCCGGGGCGCGCACTCCAGCCCTCCTCCCCCCACCATGTGGAGGCAGATTTGGAGAGAGAAGGGGACCCAAGCCCAGGGCCCGCGGATACCTAAAGAGTATTTAAATTTAAAGGAGGGGGTGACATGGCCACGCCCGGGCCCCTGGCGCTGGGTGCACGTGGGGCCACAGGGATTTCCAGACGGTGGGGTTTCCTGATCCAGGTAAATCCCTGGATGGGGCGAGCCGCCCGCTAGAAAGTGGATCGCCGCTTTGCGGGCGGTTGCGTCCCTGGAGCCTAAGACCGCCCAGGCTGGAGACGCCTCCCCAAGCTGGGTTTGGTTTTTCTTTCTTCCTCTTTCTCCTACCCCTGGTGCCTGATTTTTCCAGATTTCCAGGACACACCAGGTGGAGGGATGCTCAGGTGCTGCGCCGGGCGCCCTCGCCTGCTGCCCACCGCCTGCCGTGCTCCTGACCTTGCGGTCGCCCTTGAGCCGGGCGGGGCTGGCGCGGGGGCAGCAGGTTGGGGCGCTGTGGCCGCAGCCCCGCCCGCCGCGCGTCTACGTGATGCCGGGCCAGTCACCGCCCGCGCGCCCTGTGCCCTTGACCCTAGGCATCAGGCACCGGCAGCCGGCGCGCGGCGCGCAGTAGGTGAGGGGATGGCGCTCCGGCGCGGGCAGCGTCCCGGGAGCGTGAGTCCCCGGCGAGACCCGCCTCGTCCTGTTGTGGGCGGGGACCGCGGGGCAAGTCACCGCCCCCACTGCACGGGCCTCCTTTGTGTCCGCGAGGGAAGCCGGGCTGTTCTGTCTGATCTGGTATTCCAGTAAAGTGAGCCCCGATGTAAACATTCCGGAGAAGGAAAAGGTGATAGAGCCAAGGTGCGGATTTGGGGAAATGCAGTATGACACAGAGAATACGTAAATGAACGCCCAGAGGTTTGCCACGTGGAGCCCTGGTGGGGTCGCGGTGGGGCTGAGTGGCTTCCTACCACATGGCATAAAGAGCACGTGCGTCTGGAGACCTGCCCTAGCACGAATTAGGAAGCATAATCGGGGCCCTGCAAGGGAATACAACTTTGGCACAGGAAGAGGAACTAGTCTCTAAAACCACCAGGCTTCAAGGCCAGAGTTTCAAGGTTATTTGACAATTAAGGTGCTGTGTCTGTTAAAAAAAAAAAAAAAAGCATTTATGGGTCCACTCTTTGGAATCCCTGTCCAAGAGTTTGCTCAGCTACCTGGTAGATGACCTGCAGGCACTGGGGACCGTGGTGCAATACACAGAACCTAGCCCGGCTCAGCCACTTGTGAGTAGTTCCAGTAGGGGCTAGGAAGTCCACGTGTCTTCTGCTCAGTGGAACAGGATACTCTGAGAACCCAGATTACATGAGAAGCCTGCTTGGTTGGTGTCAGGGTCTCGGGAGATGCACGATGCTCTCAGCTGACACCTCTGGGCTGGCCCAGGGAGAGCCCCTGTGCTCCCGGCATTTCACCCCAGGCAGAGGGGAGGTTTTCTTGAACTTCATGCAAAGCATGGTCTCCTGCTTTTATGCTGCTCTGACCTGATGGAGCATCTGGATGCATTTCCTTCTGAGAAAGCTCATCTGGACATATGCTCAGAGGGGCTGGTCTAAGCAGCAACACGTTTACAGACCCTTAGACAAGGTCATTCCTAGAGATATTGTCTAAGACGCTCGGTTCTTTTGCCATTTTATCCTGACTCCAAATTCTGTCAGTACTTGATTTTCCCGGCGATAGGGAGAATTTTGCTCCTTGCTAAAGATCCAGGGGAGCATATGCAAGTCTTAATGTCAGGTTTTCCCATCAGATGTGAAATTTTGGTCAAATTCCAACTGGGGGGGGGGAGCATGGTTACTACTTATTGGGCACGTTTTGTGTCCTGGGAGCTTTACAGTTATCTCCAGGCCTGATCACATTGCTCCCAGATATGTATGTCTTCGTTTTGGAGGTGGGGAGAAAGACCTACAGAGACATAAGTGACTTGGTTTGGGTTACACAGCTCATATGTGGCATCTGGCAGGATTTAAACCAACTTCTGTCAGATTTCAGTCCCAGGGACTTCCCAGGAGGCCATGCTCTTCAGGGGCCTTGTAAAGTGAAAGTCCAAGTTTTAAAGATTTTATTTATGTGTGCATGTACTTACTTATTACAGAGAGAGAGAGAGAGAGAGACAGCGGGGTGGGGGGGAAGGGGGAGAGGGAGAGAAAGAATCCCAAGCAGACTCCCTGCTGAGGGCGGAGTCTGGCTCGTGGCTCGATCTCACGACCCTGAGATCATGACCTGAGCCAATATCAAGAGTTGGATGCTTAACCCACTGAGCCACTCAGGTACGTCCAGATGATTTTTAAACACCTTTGGTAGTGGGGCAGAAAACACCTTTTTACAGGGATAGCACTAGGTCAGCCAAAGCCAGAGTGATGAAACACTTTGCTTTCCAGTCAAATGTAGTAATTATTAAAAAACAAAAGAAAATCCTGCATCTCTATTCCTACTGCCCCAGCCCGGCCCACTAAGGAAGACTATTTCTAGGGCTAATTATTTTTCTCATTCTTTGGGTTTCTTCTGCTGTCACAAGGAATGTCTGCAAGTTAAAACTGATTTGCCACCTTGCTGGACAGACAGCCTTTCCATGACTAAGTAGCCACCCTCGAGCAAGATTGTGTCATCCACCAAAAATGATTCGTGGGCATAGACACAGTCTGTGGGATCAGCCCAGTGCAGATGAGAAAGTGGAGAAATTGAGTGCCCCCTGTGGGCAGCGTGGCTGTAAAGTCCTCTTTTGCCTAAGGCGAAGCAAACATGAATACAGTATCCAGAGAATTCACATAAATTGAGTCTGTGTCAGTCTTTAAAAGAACAGCAAGTCACTAACGTTTGCTGGTGGCGGGCGCTACGCTCGTGTGCGCTAACTTGTTCTTGGTTCACGCGGGAGCGAGCGAGCTTTGCGAGGAACTGGCTTCCTTGAGTTCTAAGTGGTAGACGGGGCCGGGCCCTGGGGCTGCAGAGAGCATGAGAGGTGGTCCAGCACAGGACGCGGCACGAGGCAGGCTCTCGGATGTTTGCTGGATGGCTCCCCCTGAATTCCTGTATGGCCCTGTGGGCCACTCCCTTTCTTAAATGCCGGGTGACTGCAGTTCTGGCTCCTTCCTTCTCTCATTAAGTCATTTCAGTGACTTGAACCTTCACTAATCAGAAGCACTCTTCTATCTGCAGAGCAGGATCTGGGAATGGCTAATGCCTCAAAGCTTGGAACTTTATAGCAGTCGGCAGAAACGCGGGGCACTAGTGACTGGAGCCCAGCGAGGGGCGGTTCGGCCATTGATCACGTACTGCTTGAACACGGCACTGGGGCCCTGCTTGTGCGGGTTCCTTCTGTGCTCATCCGGAGCTGTGCTGGCTGCAGAGCCCAGGTCGGTGCAGAGGGAAACAGGGGCTGGAACTCTGTACACATACGTTCTAGAGTGGGGGGATTTTTTTCCATGTAAAATTCAGTAATTAATTTAGCAAGCATGGTTGCGTCTTGGAGGCGCGTGTTAGAACTACAGCGCTCACCCCCGTGAGTGCCGTGGGCAGTCAGCCACTGCACCCTCTTCTGTAATGCACAAACTCTGCGTGGCACCCCAGGCGACTCTTAGAAGCCAGACGCTTTGTCATCTTTCAGAAAAACTCAGTCCTGCCTTGGGGGGAACAAACAGCTTTGGTTCAGAACTGAAACCTTTCATCAGGGAGAATTGGGGCCCGTGGGACACGCTCCACCAACCTGATGGACCGTCAGAAGCAATCACCATTAGAAGCCTGGAGATGGGCCAGCAACGTGGTAAAGGCAGACGTCGGGACACCAAACTGTAGGCCTAGTGCGGTTGTAACTAGGTTGCCAAGGTGTATTTGGATAAAGAACAGGCAGTCTTATGTTGAGAAAAAGCAAGCTTGGCACGGTGCTCCCTTTTTATTTGCTGCAGCGCCCCTGCAAGGAAGCCCCCATGTCCTCCCACTGCCCCTTCGTCCCCTGTGTCTTTGCCACTGTATACTTAGCATGCTGGGAATTACAGTAATTGTGCTTGTCAGGACAAGAAGCAGCAAAGCGTGTGGCAGAGCAGAGCCTCGAGGGTCAAGAGACTGATTAATAGGTCCTGGTTCCTGGTTCTGCGCTCTGCTAGCGGAGGGCAGGGCCTCCATTTTTCGTTTGCAAAATGAAGGACGCAGAGTCACTGACCCGCTGTCCTCTCCCCTCCTCCCTTCAGTGGAAGGAGGAGCGCAGGGGGAGGTGCAG